CTAGGCCAGCCCGCCGCCTCTTCCACTCATCAGAGACTTCACAGCCCTCTATGTCAACATCACCAAGGCCGCATTCCGTTAGTAGCTGCACTGGATCAGGTGAACCACCAGGCAAATGAGTGTAAATTGTTGAACTATTCAAGATTGTTCTGGCCACAAGAGAAATGCTAAGCTGTGGAGACAGAAGCTCCCAAATCTCATCATGTTTCCAGTTAGATATGGACTTGGACCACTGGTAAACAATATTGTTTATTTGGGACAGGGATATGAGTTATAGTTCATGCTGGAGGTGTCAGGAACGAGAGAAGGAAGGCTGGTCCATGAAACCGGATGTGCTGAGCCAGTGCAGGAAGGAAGATGAGTTGACACCAAAGCCGGGCAGGATGATGTGGAGGTAGCCTGGAGAAGCAGAACAGGAGGTTTACCCCACACAATGTACTCTTTTTGTGGCAGTAATATGACAGCACGTTGGAGCCTCACTGTCCCTACCTTTTCAGGCATTCCCGGACCAGTCCACCGGACCAGAAAGCTGGGTTCTTATAAGCGGGGTTGACCAGAAGGGAGGCATAGCAGGAGCCAGGATCTCCATGCCGGCCGACTGGGCAGGCAGCTTTAAGGAGACAGGACAGGCAGAATGATGGAGAATTGGGCAGGCCAGGAACAGCACACAGCACTGGCGGAGAGGTAACCGGATAGGTGGGGAAGATTGACACTGAACTAGGTGCACGTGGAGCTGGGTGGCAGGAGACCAGCTGGCTGTGTTGAGTAGTACTGGGGGGAGAGGGAGAGCAGCGCCAAGCTTTTCAAGACTGGTGCTGGATTGCTGAACTAGGAAATGCCAAGCAAGCAGTGTTGAGTATTGCTGGAGAACCGGGCAGTGAGATGGCAGGCAGGCAGAGTATACACTGGGTCTCTAAGATGTCAGGCTGGTGGTGTTAAGTTGTGCTTGGAGACCAGGCAGAGTGGAGGCGAGTTGGCAGAGGGCTTGCTGAGTTGTCAAGCTTGTGGTGTTGAGTAGAGCTTGGAGGTGGAGGCATGTAGACAGAGGACTTACTGGGTTGCTGAGTAGAAGAGGCATCAGGCTGGCCATTAAAAATGGGGAGATGTCAAGCTGGTTGAGCCGAGGAGCACTTGGCAGCAGAGTGTAGACCACTCTGTCATGGTGCTAGCTGAGCGGAGGAGCTCTATCAGGCTGAGTTGACACAGGAACAGCTAACTGCCAAACAGGTGCGAGACACAAATCATTAGAGTTTCACAGGAAAACAATGCAGACCAGGGATTGCAGGAACAAAACCTTCAAGTGGAAAGTCGGCCAGAAAGCAGTTGTGTGAACAGCAAAAACTGACTGGCAAGGAGGAAGCAGCCCTGACTAAATATCCAGAGTATAAATGGCACATGGGCTTCGGCTGTGCTGCTCCCTGCCAGCCATGCCTAGCTTGACCAAAAGTCCAAGGAGAGGGCTTTTTGGTTGTTCCAAGAGTGAATAAGAACTCAGCTGATCATAGGGCTTTTTCTTCAGTTCTCAAACCATTAAAAAGTGTAATTAAAAGGAAAGGAGATGTAACACGGTGATAAACATGCCTCTGTCCCAATTAGTTTTGAGTGTATTGCAGGCACCAAACTCTAAATGTTTATATTTACAAAATACAATTAAGTTGGTCAGTGAAAACATTAGAAACCTTTTCTTTGTATTTTAGTAAAACTTCAGGCAAGTTAACAAATGTAAGGACTGCTCGAATACAACAGTGAGCGAGTCACAAAAATAGACGGACCCAGGTGGCTGACTTTGGTGCAGACAGTGTAGTTTATTTACAGTGCTGTACAAGTGACAAGAAATGAACAGAGGAACAATGGAACCGGGTGTTGAGCATAGGAGTGTACACAGTCAATGATGGAGATGATGAGAAGAAGACCGGGCTGCGGACACTGGGACTCACTCCTTGGGCCTATTTCAAGAAGGCGGTTCAACAAACTCAGAGTTCAAACCTGAACTCTGAGTTGACTTACTCAGAGTTGGAAAACTCGGAGTTTTCGGTTTCAGAACAGCTGAAAAGAGTTGGTTTAATCAACTCTGAGTTGTCTGACTCAGAGTTAGGCGCGTGCCACGCGACTATAAAAAGCCCTGAACAATGGAGTGAAGAAATTACGAGTCACCATGGCAACAGGACCAAGCCAACCTATCAGCAGAAGGTTGGCAGCTGGCCGTGGCTGGGCTGGTGCATGGTGCTCAAACTAGCTGTTATATTGTCCCTAATTTGTTTTACCAAATCAGTTAATATGCCACTGAGTGCCTCATGTGTTACAACTTGTGTTTGCCTGGGCATCATAACCTTAATAGATGCACTGAGAGACTACCACAAGTCTGGAACCTGAAAGACAAGGAGCGGGGCAAAGCCGCACCCTAGGTATGCTACCCAGGACACAGGGAGGTAGCAGAGCGGAGAGTGTGGGACCACAGGACCGCAGCCGGCAGAGCGTAGAGGATCGCTGGACAGCAATGCCACGGGTAGATACGGCACCAAGTGTGACCGGTGGACTTCTGCATTGTGTTTTGACTGGGACGTGTGTGGTGGCTGAAGGACCAGGACTGCGTTTGGAGGCGTGCTCCGTTTAATCTGACAACGTGAAATAATAATCAGCACCTAGCATGTGCTGTGGGACCTCAAGCCCAATCTCTTCCCAGTGGAACATATCAAAAGGATGCAAATATTACGATAACATACCTGACAGCATGAAATAATAATCAGCACCTAGCATGTGCTGTGGGACCTCAAGCCCAATCTCTTCCCAGTGGAACATATCAAAAGGATGCAAATATTACGATAACATACCTGACAGCATGAAATAATAATCAGCACCTAGCATGTGCTGTGGGACCTAAAGCCCAATTTATATAAAAAAAAATACATCATGTTAGTGTGTTAGGTTGTCGGAACAAAGCTAAGTAATTAGCACCGGCAAATGTCATAACAGCGTAATGACAGTACATGTATGAGTATCAACAGTTATTGGTTATGCAGAAGAAGTAAAAATGAGGATGTGGGCACAAGAAATGAAAGGATTACAACAGATAATAAACTGACCTCTTCCCAGTGGAACATATCAAAAAGGAAGAGGGTATGACACAACATCGTATTTATATGACAGACAATGGGGCAAACGAAGAAGAAACAAGGCGGAGCTGGAGGTCGCAACCCAATACACAACATATAGGGAGGACTTGGGCTCTGGATGTCAGGTATGGATAAACAGTGATTAAACCTAATAAACAACTTTGTGTAATTATATGTTATAAAATGGTGACCCGGTTACACAAACATGTTTTTCTAAAAGTGCAACATTGAAAACTAAGCACCTGATATCCAGAACAGTAGCATGACAACCCAAAACCCACTTTACACTGCAATCTGTTTGAATTATGGGTATCACTCATTTGAACCTCAGTAATTACAAACATTCAGGACATTTAAACATTGTGCACAGCATAAGCTGAACACAGAAACCATTTTGGTCTACACAACACAGCCCCATTGAACACAGACAAACCCATACATCACATGATCTGTGGTTTTTGGCCACAGACTTTGCCTTCCCTGTGCAGTGTACTCATTAGAACAACATTCTTGCCTTTCTTTGGCACACACAAACCTACACATCACATGAGGGGCAGAGTTTTCTTGAGTGTGTGTTGCATATGTATGTCTTGCACTTGATGCATGTATATTGTGTTTTTCTGTCCTTTGTGGGTCCACACACTCCACAGTGCTTCTGTTGCCCGGTGCTGGCCACAACCTAGAATAATGAAAAGATAAGAAATTATACTTAGCACCTAGTTTCTCTCTCTCTCCCAAAGCAAGTGTCTCACATTCAGTTTACTGCAACAGCATCACACACTTACCTCAGGCTCTACAGATGGTTGTTGCACAGAAGGTGTAGCCAGATGATAATCAATGTCAGCCTCTTCTTCAAAGTCACTATACAGTGCCTTGCGAAAGTATTTGGCCCCCTTGAACTTTGCGACCTTTTGCCACATTTCAGGCTTCAAACATAAAGATATAAAACTGCAATTTTTTGTGAAGATTCAACAACAAGTGGGACACAATCATGAAGTGGAACGAAATTGATTGGATATTTCAAACTTTTTTAACAAATAAAAAACTGAAAAATTGGGCGTGCAAAATTATTCAGCCCCTTTACTTTCAGTGCAGCAAACTCTCTCCAGAAGTTCAGTGAGGATCTCTGAATGATCCAATGTTGACCTAAATGACTAATGATGATAAATAGAATCCACCTGTGTGGAATCAAGTCTCCATATAAATGCACCTGCACTGTGATAGTCTCAGAGGTCCGTTTAAAGCACAGAGAGCATCATGAAGAACAAGGAACACACCAGGCAGGTCCGAGATACTGTTGTAGAGAAGTTTAAAGCCGGATTTGGATACAAAAAGATTTCCCAAGCTTTAAACATCCCAAGGAGCACTGTGCAAGCAATAATGTTGAAATGGAAGGAGTATCAGACCACTGCAAATCTACCAAGACCTGGCCGTCCCTCTAAACCTTCAGCTCATACAAGGAGAAGACTGATCAGGGAACAAACGGGCCTGAGAAAAGCTAGAAAGAACTGGCAAGGGAGTGAACGAAGAGCAGGGACTAAATAGGGAGAAACTAATCAGGTGCAGCTGGTGACAAGCAGGTGTAAAGGATAGCATAATCAGGGTAAGGGAGAGAAAACAGAGTGAGGGAAGTGAGAAAGTAGGTGCAGCCGGGCGAACCTGACAACAAATCACAGATTTTAGTTTTTATTGCATTTTGAAAAATGTCCCCACTTTTCTGGAAACTGGGTAAGTATTTTGATATAGGTGTATGTTGATCAGCTCTCCTTCTACAGTCATTTCTGCATGTAAATAGCAACTCTTCATCCCCACTGAAGGGGGCTTAATATTGCTTTATTACTTCACACTGCATGCACCTTCTGACAGGTTCTGTCTGTTGAGTATTTACTAGAACTCCATTTCACATCTACTGTCTACATCTACTTTTTAATAGTCCAGCAAACTTTGACACAAAATCAGCGCAACAGAGCACATTACTTCTTGGTTCATTGAAGCAAGCTGTTGTATGCAGACATACACACTCTTTGGGACTCAGGATTTGGGGCTTGTTATTTTACTGATGTATGATGTAAGTGTGAATCTTATGATGGCAGACTGATCTTTTTATTATTTTGTATAAAAATCACAAATATTTTGTCTTCTAAAATAGGAATCATTTACTAAACTTAACAAAAATTAAAATGCTCCTATTTGCTTAAAAGGACTGAAATACCAGGTGTTTACAAAGATTACACTAAAAAGTCCACAGATGTCTTTGTGTTCAACAACTAGAAACTGATTTTAAGAATTGACAATAATATAGCACAATAATAGTCCTTAAAATAGTTACAGAAAAAGTACAATTGTTTTGCAAGCAAAAACCAAAACCCTGTCCAAGTCTTCCAACTGCTGTTCTCACATAATAAAACTTAAATTATGATCATGATAAACATGTCATCTTTTACTGCAATGACAGCATGTCATGACCTGGTAATGCACCAAGCATCCATCTTGTGTT